TAGGATTTCTTACTGAGTTAACTGCTTGAGGTAGGATTTCTTACTGAGCCAAAAGACGGAAACTCGGGAAACACGGGCGGACCGTCTCGGAACAATACATGTGTTCTAGAACATTTAGTATTTTTGAAATGACAGTAATTGTCACATTTTGTATGTGTGCCCTGATAGCTCTTTATTGAATCCTGGTATATGTGTGTGTGCACAGTTTATTTTAAAACTTAGTGAAGTTGTAAAAGGTATCAGGGAAAAGGGATATATAATTGATTCGTTTGGAATCCTTGAAATTGACGGACAGGATTTCCCAACTTGTGTTTAATTTCTACCATTTAATTTCTGCCACGTGAATGTCACACTGCAGATCCCATGTGTCTGGAGGATATTTCGTGCCTACGAAACTGAGGCAGTGAGGGTGTAAAGACAGGCGGTGTGAAGACAGTGTGAGGGATCTGTTCCACAGCTGCTCCTCACTCTCCACTCTCGCCTGACACCTCACATTTAACAAGAGCCAACAATCTGTATGACTGCTGTGCACATGAGAACAGTACTTTGGCAGCAGCGAACACCAGAGTTGGAGGCAAGAGAAAACTGGCTCCGATGGTTAAGGTTCTGTGCCAGCGTGACTGGACCAGGGTTCTCAGCAGTGAGGCCATTGGGGAGTAGCATAGCTCGGCAGTTCAGTGATGATGTCGTCGTCCTCTGCGCTGTGATCTGGTGTGATCACCCTCCAGTTTTACATAATACTCACTTTTGCAGAGTGACCTGGTCTTTGGAAACCTCACCATCTCAAAAAGTGAGGAGTGGGGTACCCAGAAGGAAATCTGAAAAATAACCCAGGCGCCTTCTCATTTCATTCGTAGCATAACATGATACCGTCTCCTAAATTGAGAGGGTGTCTCGAAAACGAGCTTTCTGAGCGGTGACTTGTTGAGACTAACAAAGCAAAGCCTGCCAAGGCCGCCAGCTTTCTGGCCCCCGTGTGACTGAGAGCGGGCCCTGCGGCCAAGGGTCCGCGTGTTAAGAAGAGGTGTGTTTGTTTCCAGCGCTGTAGAAGGCAGACCAGCACTGGCACTGGCCGCGAACTTCAGGCTTGCCTCTTTGTCTCTCTAGGAGCTGATAGACTACCTGCGGACACACTCTCACAGCGCGGTGTACGCCACGGCACTGTCACCGCCTGTGGTGCAGCAGATCATCACCTCCATGAAGTGCATCATGGGCCTGGATGGCACCAGCCTGGGTAAGCCCCTCGCTCGGTGGGGACTCCTGGTCTCCAGTGTGCTTCTCGAGCCTGCTGCTGAGCTTCTTCCTGGCAGTCTAACGGGCAGAGCTGGCAGCATGAGGCTTTACTTCGATGGCTCCTTCTCCGTGTGTTAGACACACGTGTGTGAGAACCGGGCTTGCTCCTGGTCAAGTTCCTTGTTGATTGACAGTGAGGTTGTCATCTCACTCCCCGCCATCACTCCGGTAATAGGCCTTCAGGGCCTTCCTTGAATTGCACTTCATGTGAACATGAAAATTGCTGCCCCAAACCCCACTGCCTTTGAGCCAATTCAGGCTCACAGCAACCCTGCAGGACAGAGTGGAACCGCGGCCCCAAGGCCGTCATCTTGGTGGAAGCAAATGCTGCGTCCTCCAGAGGAGCAGCTGGAGGGTGCACACTGCCCTCCTTCGCGAGGAGCCAAGGCTCCTTCATGTGGACGTGATGTTTTGTGAGGATCATGTTTAAGAGCTGCTGCCTCCATTAAGTAGTGTCCTTAGTTTTAATGACTTAATAAATTTCCAAGTTAACATGCAGGTAAGTAATAGAGGGGAGAAAGCTGGGGTTTTCCACTCCTGTAAAGAGTCACAGTCTCAGAAACCCACCAGTACAGTTCCTCCCTGTCCTATATGCTGCGATGAGTTGGGACAACGTGGTGGCAATGAGTTTGAGTGTTTTGAGGGAGCAAAGCCTCTCTGGGATTTGTAGTCCCAAGTAAAGACTGAACCGAGGCAGTGCCATCTGGCATTTGTCTTCTATTTTGCATCACCAGAGGGCAGTGTTGACTACAGACTCGATAGAATGACCAGGCTTGGTGGGGGAGTGGAGGGAGGGTGTAGATGGCAATTTTTTGTTTGTTTTCCTTTTTCCAAAAAAGTATTCCCTAGTGATTTTGTTTCGTTTTATCATACATTCATTATATTTGCTGCTTTTTTTGGTTTCTAAATTCAGTTTGATGCTTGTACTTTCCACATTACCCACCTTGGAGCCTGAAGATTATAGTTAACTATTTTATTGGGAGAGTCATTGGGCTTTTGTTGAAAAACACGAATGAAATGGTACATGTGATTTTGATCGGATTGTGTCTGAATGTGAAATTTGCCGTAGTGTCTTTTTCTGATCTGTGATTGCTTGTTATTGCTAGGGAGAGGTCTTAGGGGTCCCCCCCCCCCCCAAAAAAAAGTGACAGTGATCATTTTCAATTTCATGAGTTGATTCTTTGAGGGAGGAAATATTTCATTAATGTTTCGAGCAGCAGTTTCCTGTCAACAATAGTTACAGCGTATCTCCTCCTTCCAGGATGACCTTACTGGAAGTGTGTGTGTGTGTGTGTGTGTGTGTGTGTGTGTGTGTGTGTGTCCCTAGCTTTTATCTAGTTCCTTTCCATACATACATTAACCGATTCAAAATGGCTAGAGCTATCAAAGTGGACCTCAGGTAATCTTGCCTGACGGAAGGGGCTCTGTGTGATGCCTGACCTCTGAATGAACGATTTCCCTGTAGTCAATAATAATGTCTGGGCTCTACCTGATGAGAAGCTGACCTTTGGGAGCTGGCACGAGACTGTGGGTTAGCACTGGGTTTCCAGCTACCAGCTTAGTGGATGGAACAGCCGTGTTATTGTGCTCTTGCAGAGTCTGGGGGTCAGGAATTCGGTCAGGGCACAGCAGGGGTGGCTCGTCCCTGCTCCACAATGTCTGGGGCTTCAGTGTGGGACACTTAGGACTGGAGAAAATTCAGATTGGGGGGCTGGGGAGAAGCTGGGGCCATCTGGAAGCTTCTTCACTCACATGTCATCTGGGTTGGAGTGAATTGGAAGCTGAACTCAGCTTGGACTGTTGACCAGAGCATTCGCTCGCCCTCTTCCTGTGGCTGGGCATCCTCAGAGCTTGGTGATTGCAGAGGTACTTCCTGAGAGCCAGCATCCCTGGAGAGCCACGGGGGAGCTCCAGGGCCTTTACCGAAGCCCACACAGCCTGCTGAGTAGAGCAAGTCAGTTTGCAGTGGATTTACAGCCATTTCAAAAAACCGGCCACTGCTAGTGATACATTTTAAAACCTACTCCTTAAAACTTCTAGTATGATAGACTTCTGTTTCTCTCCTACGTTGTTTCTCTGCCAAAACAGACATTCAAAGATATTGAACCATAATAAAGACAAATAGAAATGTGTTTCTCAAGCAGCCTGGTCTTAATTAAATCTGGCCTGATTGAGGTTTGCATCGGCAAGGGCATGATTACTCCTCCGGCATCGTCAGGTGCATCTTTCTCCTGTCCGTGTAGGAAGAAGGCGGTATGAGCCAGGAGACTGGCCTGATGAGACGTAGCTGCGAGTCCGTCAGGGTTTTAGTTTGTGTCACTCCCTCTGCTTCCGGCTTGCTCCTGCCTTCCTCACAGGTGATTGCGATTCTGACGTTGTCTCTGTCTGTCCCTCCTTTTCTGCTTTTGCTGCATCGTGTCCTGAAGTGGCGATAGTGTAAGCGTTTCACTGTTCGCCAAGTAACACGCACAGGTGTGTGCCTGCCTGAGTCAAGACCCACTATCTTGAGAAGTCCCCGCCGAAGCTTCCTTGCAGATCAGTAAGTGAGCACAGGCAGTCAGGGCTTCCGGAGCCTCCGGCCATGTGCCAGGCCAGTTACTTGGTCGACGACTGCTCGGTTTGGGTTTGGACGCGGTGATGTACCTCATCCTCACACAAGGGCACTTTCCCTCATGACGGTCTCTCAGAAGGCGCCCTCAACTCCACTTCCCACCCCCCACCCCACCCCCCTGAGCGTAAACCTTGCCACCAGCTACTGCAGTGAGAAGTCCTCCGGATTCCAGAGAGCACAGCTCAGACCCTTTAGGGGGCGGGCAGACATGCCTCCGTTGCCCATCAGGCTTACACATTCTGACATCAGCTGTCTGCCCCAAGACACTCCCTTCTCTGTTGGGTTTAAAAATGTGTTGTCTGTGCACGTGGCATTGAGAGGATGGGATGTATTAGAATGTTTGACCCCTGCTTAGAATCTGCCTTCCCACTCCAGATAGATTGAATCAGAATCTACGGTCACGTGGTGGTCTTGTTCAAAGTATAGATTCAAATTCAGCGTGTATGGGGTGGAAAGGCACGGTCCCACGGGAGGTGGGGGGGTGGGGGGATGGGGGGGTGTCAGACCTAAAGCAACTAGTTGGAAGCCCGGGCTATAACTTAAGGTCAAGATCAACCTCGATCTTAGAGGAACAACTCAGGAGACTGGACTCAAGGCTTTAAATCAGGACAGCTTCTTACGCCGACAGCTGCCAGCGTTCTCTCTGGGGTGCTCACAGTCAAGCTCACCACCAGGCCTTGCTTGTAGTCTGTCCTTCACCCTCCCTAGGCAAGGGCTATAGCTCTTCAGTTGCACCCACAGTGCCCAGAGGCCCCTTACTTCTCTGGCAAGCTTCCTGCCTGAAGGTGCGCAATTCTCTCTTGCTCCACAAGTCAGCAGTCCTAACATGCTTCCCACTCAGGCAGTAGGCCTCCTGTCCAAAGGTGCTTCGCTCTTACCTCATGGGTCAGAGGCCCAGCATACCTGTCTCTCACTGGTCTCCTCGTGCCTGCCACTGGTACTGCTGTGCCATCTCTCCTGTCAGCTCCTGCCAACTCCAGTGTGGCAGGTCTGTCTCTCCAGCTCCTGGGTCTAGGAGGCTGTCAGCACAGGGGCCCAGAGAGCCAAGGCCACACTCTGTGCTATATCCTCTTTGATAGTACTAAGGCCTCTCTCAACCTCTGTGGGATTGACCCTTTTATAAGACTTACCACCAAGACCATAAACTGACAAGTCCACTCAGTAGGTCACAGCATCTAATTTGTAAAGTAACCAGCCCATCTCCACAAGAGTTTTAGGTAACATTTGTACAATAAACTGCCCAACCCTTGCAAACCAAAAGAAGACAAAACAAACTTACTGCCATTGAGTTGATGCCAGCTCATAGGGACCCTATAGGGTATGGTACAACTGCCCCCGTGAGTGTCCGAGACGATAACTCTTTACAGGAGTACAAAGCCCTGTCTTTCACCCATGGAGCTGGCTAGTGGTTTGAACTGCTGACCTTGTGGATTGCAACCTAGCACATAGCCATTATGTTACCAGGACTCAATCATAGGGCAGACTGTAGCTCTGCTAAGTGTGTGTGTGTGTGTGTGTGTGTGTGCAGAATTATACACCTGATTTCCAGAAAAGCCGTATAATTGAGAGACTCACTCACTGCACTGCATTGTTAGAGTAGAGCTGTGCTCCGTAGACTTGTCAGTGGCTGATGTTTCAGAATTAAACCACCAGGCTTTTCTTTGGAGATGCCTCTCGGTAGACGCCCATGTCCAACCTTTCAGCTAGCAGCCAAATTAACTGTGTACTCCATACAAAGCAAAAATAATCTTTAGAGACTTCCAGCTGCTAGCAGAGTAAAGTGCACGTTCTTCCTATGATGTTCAAGCTCTTACTCTACCTTAACCCATCTCCTCTTGTGCCCTTGTTCCTATCGCTTGGATTCCTGACAGAGTACTTCTCTTCCCACCTCCGACTTTCGTTCAGTCTTCAGGGCCAACTGGAATGCTGAGTCTGTCACGACGCCTTTGTGCTAATGTCTTTTTCCTTTTGCATCACAATGTTAGAATATCTTTATAATTTTACCTCACAGATGCAGAATTCAAGGTGTTATGAAAGTTAGCCAATAGACTTAATGTGCTAGATGTTAACAGTTTAATACCTGAACAGTGGAACTGTCTGTCTCCCTGAATTTGAATACAAACTACAGGGAGACAGAAAGTTATGTCTGCTTGCTTACTAGTTCCCTTGTATTTAGAATTGGTTTGGGCACATGGCAGGCACATACTCTCCCATACTTTAGATATGTTATCGGGAGAGACGACCCCAGAAAAGGACATCACGCTTGCTAAAAGAGAGGGTCGGCACAAAAGAAGGCCCTCAACAAGATGAATGATCAGTGGCTGCAACAA